ATAGGAGAGTAGAAATAGTATGCACAGGGGCCTTAAGCTATGTACTTCATATCACATTCCTGAGAGAAGAGTTGCTGGGTTCATAAATGGAAACTTTGCAAATAATATAATATTAAAACCGGCACAGTGGAATTCCATATTCTAGAATATTTTATATTATATTTTATATTCTAGAAATTTTCATGTTCAATTTTTAGAAGAATAGTATCTTAAGAGGAAAAAATGCTTCTAAATTTGTACACTTCTTTGGTTAAATATAAATGCAAATTAATGTTCCCTATTGGCCAAATTGTTGAGTGTGAACTGTCATAAGTATATCAAATGCTGAATGCTGTTGAAGATAAGTTTTTTCTTTTATTTTGAAAATGTTGGTTGCTTGAAATATATTTTGGCTTATCAGGTGATTATTACCTAATTTGATTATGAGATAAAATCTAACCTATTGTGGGCTTTAATATCAAAACTACTATATTGAGTACTTTCTTTGCTTTTCAGTGTATTAAAACCTGAAAAAAGTTGAAGAGAATAGAATGAGGAGGGGGTAGCAGAGAAGAACGAAGAGTGTTTCACACGGTTTCAAGCAGTGGGCAGTTTTCATGGAGAGAGATTTGAAACAGCCATAGAATCTTATAGATAGAGGAAACCTCAAAGCCATACAATTAAATGTTTTTGGTTCTCAACTAAAGAAACATGTCCTTTGAGGTTAAATGACATGACGACAATTCTCCAGGCAATATGCAGTTATACAAGGCACCAGAAGAGAAGTCGGGTGTGTGAGTGGGACTGAGGAATGGGCTGTTGTGGGATAGGTTAAAATTCAGTTAATATTACTTACCACATGTCAAGCTTATGCAATGACATTCATACTTACTATCTCTTTTGCATTATCATAACAACCTTACAGGTTAACTATTACTAAGCGAGGTCCAAGGAAGTGAAGTAGCTTTCCCAAGGAGTGACACTGATTTGGTGGGTAGACATTGCAAGTGTTGAGTTGGTTTGAAATAAGAAATGGGATGGATATGTTGGAGGAAAGGGAGGTAAGACACTTGCTTGGCAGGAACAGAACTTCCATGCTGGGAAGGATTGAGACCTATGGAGGCTATTGCATCTATAAAAAGTTAGAAATGTTCAATTTACACTTAAAATCCAGGGTGAGTTTGTTTCACACAAGACGGAGTATTACAACACTGAAGCAGAAAGAAAGGGAGGGAGGGAACTAATAGTATCTGAGATAAAACTTAGCCTGGCTGGTGAAAAACACTCTATGTATGAATGATTATAATATATATAATCATTATATAATATGTATATTATGTTATATTATATATTATATATTAATGTATATATATGTATCAATATAATATGTTATATAATATATATTAAGATCCAAAACAGCCAGGGAAACAAGAGGATGCAGCATATTATAACAGTAATTATCTCTATGTAGTTGGATTATAAGTAATATTTTTCTTCCTCATTCATTCCTTTTTTCTTCAAATTTTCTGCAGGGAGCCCGCATTGATTTTATGATTAAAAAAATCAATTTCTATAAAAAGAAATACATACATGGAAACCAAATTATTTGCTGAATTGAAAACATTGCCAATTTTAAACTACAACAGAAATAAATTTGAGATAAAAATTAGAACAGCTTATACTGAATTAGAATATAAGTAGTTCATTATTTTATATACGTATTATTTTCAATTCTATGTTTTCCTAATTAGGGTTAAAAAGTTAACATTCTATTTTTGATTAACTCTTCACAAGAAATTTGTGGTTTTTAAATGTCAGCTTGTACATAAGTAGATACTTCCAGATATGGATTTTAAAATTGTTCTCTGGATTTTGGCTTGTAAAGTTGGCAGATACTCTCTAACTGACTGTGCTAATAGAATTTAAAAAGAATATCCATTTTTGTCCTTTTCACATATGGAATGTGTTCCCGGGGAAATACTGAATATCGGTAATTTATGTTGGCCTATACAACCTCAAGCCCGACATTAGATTTATAATAAGCACATAGGAAATTGTTACTGACTATATTCGGATCAGTTCCTGTGTCTTTTTAATTTCACAGAATGTTATTAGCTGTGGCCTTAGTTCCCAACCTGCTTTAAGGTTTCGTTTCAATTTATCAGTTACATGTTGATACCATTTATTAAGATCTGTTTGATAAAATGGCGTTTATTTTGTGCTTTTTCTCCAAAAATGTCCTGAAAATGGATAGTTCATTTTTTCTTTGAAATTATTCAAATGGTTACAAGCCAAACATCAGAAAGCTTTAGGATTTCTAAAGCAACATTTATTAGCACAAGTGTTTGAACTGCATAGATTAAAGTAACAAGTTTCTAAAGCCTCTCTACCCATTATTTTCAAGTAGGATGATTTGCAATCTGACTTTAGTTTTCAAAACACAATTTTTCTTAATATCAATTAATTAATATCCCAGGTATATCTTCCTTATTCCAAAAGTCACAAATTTATTCCCTCTATAAAATCCCTACTGAAATCACATCACATACTTGAGAATTGTCCCAAGAATTACATTTTTCTCTTGTTTTCTTCCGGATGTGCTCATGTCTCCATTTTGCTCATTTACTGCTCTGCTTTTAGATGTCCGAGTCTTGAGGGTAGGAAGATGCCGTCACTCATTTTCTGCTTGTGGAATCGCATGTGGTGCCCTGGATCAAAAAATGTTGAGTGACTGTATATCTCTGACACTATTTTAAAATATTTAGGTCAATAATTTTGCCTTTGGCATTTTTTTCTAATGTTATAACTACTTATTTGTATTACATATAAAAGTTGCTTTGGTATTTTGTCTACGATTGCTCATCGTTGAGTGACTATCCAGGAAATCTCTCCAGAAAATGGAAAGCGTTTATTTTTAATGTGTTTTTGAATTCACATATAATGTGACCTTGGAGTCCCCTACAAATAATATAGCATTATATTATTTCCTGACAGTTATTTTCTTTTCCCACTTTAGGAATAAGATAATTCAGCACGACCTTCGTATTGCCAGACTATTCCCATTGACGTTCCCCGAAAGAAATAATCATTTTTTGAGTTTGAACTTGCCTCAGCCACTTTAAAAATTCATAAATAACATGCGTTGTTGTTTTTTTAAACTAACCAACTTCATCGATGGACATTTGTAACCACATACAGATCACATTCACAAAATTTTCCAGTAATAATCATTTTGTGTTAGAACATCTGCTTTCTCAAAGCTGAGAGAGCTTTTGGCTGTATCAGTCTCTTCAAAACCTTCAAACTGTTGCGTAAGCTCCTTGCACAAAACCAGTATCTATGGTTTCTACATGATGCTAAGAATGCATGTGCTATGGTTTTTGTTCGTTAGCTACCTTTGTGTTGATAACATTTCTTAAATAATAATCTCTGAAAATTCCTTATGAATCTTCTTTATTGAAAATAGGCTTCCTTAAAACACTTTTGATAACAAAAGAGCTACAGTGCATTTCATAGTGCTCAAAACATTCAGCACGAGACCTTCACCCAACTAGAAAATTAAAAAATGTGAAAAGTCAATCCCTGTTCAAAGGAGGGGGGAGAAAAGAAAGAGGAATGATAGTGGATAAGTGTATTTTCCCTGTTTGAAGGTAGGAATGTTTCAAAGTCCAGTATTTCTTGGTCAACACTCAATAGTCTAGGTGTATTTGGTGTCCCCTGGAAAGCTTCATAAATTATTTAAAAAAGACGACAAAGGAGGGGTGCCTGGGTGGCTCAGTCGTTAAGCATCTGCCTTCACTCAGGTCAGGATCTCAGGGTTCTGGGATCGAGCCCTGCATCAGGCTCCCTGCTCGGCGGGAAGCCTTCTTCTCCCTCTCCCACTCCCCCTGCTTGTGTTCCCTCTCTCGCTGTCTCCCTCTGTCAAATAAATAAATAAAATCTTTAAGAAAAAAGACAAAGGAAAGAATATTGTATAAAATCTAAGGCAAATATGTAAATACAGCAATGACCAGAATCTAATAGAATCTTCCACTTTACATTTGAATGTCGGGCAGAGTATATATTTCCCCAAATAAGAGATAAGAGTAAAAACAAAAATTAAAAAATACATATATATTAACTTTATTCTATTTGTAATTGGACAACTTTGAAAGTTAAAGAAAATCTATGCCCTTCCTCTTTTAGCTGTTTCCATATAAGATAATGAGTATGCCATGAAGTATGGGAAACCCCCTTCCTCGCCAGGGGTGATGATTAACTTGTGAGTTTGCATGCTTTTCAGGTGAACAAAGTTTAGCAATAATGATGGATCTGAACATTTTTGAGTATTTTATTGCCTTTGAAATGAATAGTATAAAATACTTATCAGCATTAATTTATTTTACCTATTTAACAAAATGTTAAACTGAATAAGTGGTGAATTGTTTATGTTTATATGTTATTTGTTTTGTGCTGTTTTTCTGTGGGTTGAGGCAATATTTTTAATTAGCTTTTGTAAAATGGGATTTGGACAATTGAAATTAAGTCAGTTAGTATAAGGCAAGCAAAGTATTTGTTTGGATTTTTAATTGAAATATCAGAGATTTTGAAAAACCTATGGGCAAAGTTTTAAAATCTCTTTTTCTAGGAGACTTACCTAATCTTTGCCCAATTACTGTGTCGTTTACAGTCATATTTAACACTTTTTGAGAAGATTCTATTCTGTATATTATTATAAATGTTTGCTGCTAATTCATTTTGAATATGATAGTCCACAGTAATATTTACACACTTTCTAGGTCCCCTGGCTATTTATATGACCTCAAAAATAAGCAAGGAAATAAAGGATAAGGAAAAATAAAATATATTATTTTTTCTAAGTGCCTGAGAAATGTTATTTCTTCAACAATCTTTTGAATGTTATTCATAACAATACTTTTCAAATTTAATTTACTTTGATTCCACATAGTATATACTTTGCTGTAGGGTATGTTGTATGTTTCTCTAAATTCTTCTTTTCTGTGTGCTGTTTTCTTTTCCAGTTACTGGCTGACAAACAAAGTTCCCATCAAAAGACCCAGCACAGGTCTCCTCATGTATACACTTGCCACAAGATTCTGTGATGAGATTCACCTGTATGGATTCTGGCCATTCCCTAAGGATTTGAATGGAAAAGCTGTCAAATATCATTACTACGATGACTTAAAATATAGGTATTTTTCCAATGCCAGTCCTCACAGAATGCCATTAGAATTCAAAACGTTGAATGTGCTACATAATAGAGGAGCTCTGAAACTAACAACAGGAAAGTGTGTAAAGCAATAAAGCACATTTGAAAACATACAAACAAACTGAATATGCACTTCTTTTCTGAAGATGCTTCCTAAGATTTGAAAATGGGATCCAAAACAAGACTGAGTTTCAGCATCCACCAAGTATCAGCAAGGTGATAAAGGACACTTATGAGAAATCCACTACCAGCTGATGAAATACCTGCGAAGTGCTCTAAAAAACACATATTTTGACTTCAAGGGTCCTAGTAAGTGCCACTTCCACTAAGAACACAGTTTGAATGTATAATCAGTAGTGTTTACAAGATCCAACAATGCACTTGTCATTAGTTAATGAGGCAAATATGTTCATCAATGTTGGGCTGCCACGGCAATGCCAAGCACATTAGAAAAGTCACCCAGGAACACAACTCAGCCCTGGGGATTAAACCGTCCTTGTCAGCAGAAACCGAGATGGAAAGAGTTTGAGCAGTGAAATCCATAAGATGAAACAACTCAAGTAAATGCCTTCAGTCAGGACTCTGAGTCTGATCATGAACTTTTGTTTTTGCTTTTGTTTTTGTCTTCTGGAATCTCTTTTGGTTTGGGTATTGGGTGCTTAGAAATCCTTTCTGAGATAAATATGAATGAGATAAATAACCTTCAAGGAATCATTTTTAAAGTTCTTATATTTTTAAAGAGCAATCACAGGACAACTTTGTCAAAGAGTTTTATTTTGCACAACTCTAAACCTCCAGATTTTTTCCAGGGGTGGAGAAGGTACCAGCTAAACTGCACCACTCAGTAATCTTGAGCCATTCTAAAGGAAAGATGTTCTATGTCATCTGAGATGGTAAAATTAGCAGAAAAAACAAGTACTTTTGGTACCAAAGATTGTGCTGATGTTTCTATACAACAAACCATTCTCCTTTCATGAAAATAATATATTAATATATTATTATACTACTAATATGGAAGTTGTCTTTAGAGATATTAAAGTTCGCAAAATCAAACTTTATTTTTATTTGAAGGAAGACTTCCATAGCTTTTACATTTCATAATAATTTCATGGAAGTATTTTGCCCTTTAGAATAAATGTTAGACTGATGGGGCTGAAATGAGACCTCCAGTTCTTTGATATTCCCCTTATACTTCAAATGGAAAGATTGGCATTCTTTTTATGTCACTGTTAAATTTTTTTAGTGCAGAAACAACATGATTAATAGATTGTTTTCTCCATAACAGATGATTAATTTTCAGAGGTTTAATAAGGAAACTGTGTGTCAGTATTTGCACTTCAAGTGAATTAAATTGACCAATATATTTTCTGTGGTTAAATTTATCCACATTATCACCTTAATGTGTTTTCAAAGAAGCACATGAAATTATTAAGAAAGTAATTCAAGAAGTTGTAACATGGGATAGAATTGACCAATAGGCCAGTTTTCTGTTAACTTATACTACACTGGTAGGTAATCCTAATGGTAAATTGTTTAGAAAGCAGAAGTACTCTGTTCCCACTTCTACTCGTGGCCTGAAGCACTTGGCTGACTTCTTGTTTCTTAGGGAAGGCAGTCTGAGGAAAGAAGAAATAGTGTAGGGAATATGTATGTTTTGTTTCTTAGGGAAGACAGTCTGAAAAAAAAAAAAGAATAAATAGCATGGAGATTATATATATATATGTGTATATATATATACACATACATATATATACATACAATATATACATATATATTATATATACATATATTATATGTATGTATATATATACATACATATATGTTATAGAAAAGGATGTTCACAGTAGGACAGTTCTTAATATATTAATAATATGTGGTATTATTTTTAAAAAGATAAGAGAACCTTGGGTTTCAGAATATTATTTTTTAGAATTCATGTGTCTCTAAGAAAACAAAATAAAATGCATAAAGGAGATGCAGAGCTAAAAATGGACAGAACATGATGCACTTTTATCATTAACCTCTTATCTATTGGAAATCTTAAAAGAATTAAGCACGTATTTTGAATGTAAAGTTGAAAAGTCTGATTTACGTAACAAATCCAAAGGAGGTGATTTATAGAACCTTAATTTTTACTATTTGTGGGTAAGTGTATGAATAGCCTTTAATTTGAATTCAATAGAAAATTTGAAGTTACAAGTAAATTCTGATAGGTAAAATCCATCTCAGAACTCATTCAAATTATGTCTTAAAAAGCAGCAGCAAGGAACCTTGCCATTTTTACTGCATCATCAAATGTGTTTAAATAATTTTAAGGCCACAGCAAAAGCATCCCAGACACTCACTGTTTAGTGCATTAATGTTTGTCTCATAGATGCATTGAGTAGTGCCTTTTTAGCTTCATGTTGCTTTGTTACCCTATACTTTGTGTTCTCTAAATAAATTGCCCAGTTCTGAAAATGTTCAGCATATGAAAAGGGCTTCAGTATCGACTGAGACTACTTTTGTTCATCTCAGGGAACTTTCAGTACTCAAGAATGAATTCAATTAAAGGCATTTAGTGTTCAAAGAAAACAAACTGTCCAAGACCATTTCATTCCCTATTGTATACCTTTCCATCCACCCACCACCTTCATAAAGCTACTGTGGCCTTCTTACAGGGATAAGGCAAGGAGATCACTGAAGTCTAATAGCAAGAATAAGAATAATTCCGTTTAACCAATAAGGGGCCAAAAGGGATCATGATAAAATCAAATTATAAATACATACTTGAAACATCTGAATTTTTTTCTTTTGAGATGTATCATATGTTCACAGCTTTAATTTTTTGTTTCTTTTCACGATTTACCCCTGTACCTGGCAATGCTCAGGCAGCTGATTGTGGAATATTCTTGTCTTTTAGAGAATGTGGTTGTTACTGTGCTGTTGACATGAATAGGCCATGGGAACATTTTCATCATTATTACCCAGCCTGTTCTATATTTAATATTAAGTTGCTGGAATAAAAAAAAAATGAATCAGTAACAGATTTTCTGGGCAAATCTAGTGATTCAGCCCACAGGACTGATGAAATTACTGTGGAAGTTTTTCTGTCTGAAAGAAAGTGCTGGGCATTCAAATGTCTTTATGTATTGTATATCATATGAAATGTATATCAATTGCTAATGGGAATTTCTACATATATGCTTACATAAGCAATTTATTTAAGTGATGCTATGGGTAGTGTACATACCAACTAGTTATTAAGCTTCTACACAGGAAAAGGGTGAACAAAGTAATTTATTTCTAATTGAGCCAGTTAGTCATAATGCACACAATGTGGTATTTGGTTCATAAGAGTTGTTTTCATGTGCTTATTGTTGGGAGTATCTATAATTGTGGAAGAGGTATAGGAAGAGTTATGTATAGTTAGTTGTTACCTCTACAAGTTTGAAAGTTTCCCCATTAGAACTTATCAATATACCAATGTTTTAAAAATTGAGTGAAAGAGGGTTATTGTTCATATTTGATGAAAGAAAATCCAAATAAAGCCCACCTAGAAATAGATATTTTATTATACATGTGCTATAGATATATCTATATAGTACAAATAGACAGGTGTGATGCATATATACAATGTTATATATGTGTGTCTGTGTTATCCACACAGAGTCTGTAATATACACACACTAGATTTGTGTCATGCTAACATCTTTAGAGGCTGTATTGTTAAAGCACTCTGGAGATAAGGACACTTTAGAATAAAGAAGTTCTTTTGAGACTTCAGTTACTAACCTGCTTTAAGAGGGATCTACTTTATAACTGAATTCTATTGTTCATATTTAGAGTTTCAATAAGGGTCTAGTATGGCCAAATCTTAAAAAAAGAAAAAAAAAGAAAAAAAAGAAAAAATAAAAATTAAAAAAAGTTTTCAAGCTGGCAATGTATTTGAATTGCAGTTTTCAGTGGCTCCCTGGCCCTGTGTCTCCCATTTAAGTAGCACCTTTTAATAAAAATACTGTTTCTTTGTGTAGGCAAAAGCACAAGTGTTTCAAATGTATATAGCAGGAAAAAAAAAAGAGTTTACAGAGATAGCACTGTTGCACAGGATAATTGCTACTGAGTATTTCTTATATCATTTGTGGAATTGAAAGATGAGATTTATTCTGTCAAGTTCATTCTGTTCAACACTGTTTCCTATTGTTTATGTATAGCAATTGGGTGTTATTGTTTTATCATTTGTAAAACTGTAAAATAAATTAAATCTCCCTTTTTTTTTTTTCAAGTTTTCTCTTATCTCTTACATCCAAGCCCTCGGTTCCACTTTGTACGTCAATATAAGAGGACAGTTTTTAACAAGCTTTAGCTAGTGCTTTTGTCTTCCCTGCCCCTCTGCCCAACTGATGGCAATTTGGCAAACCATTTATTTTTACAGCATATGCACAGAAACATGAACAATATCCACAGCCCCATGAACATCAGGAAATCTTTAACAATTTTTGGCATGGTACATTCTGTTTGTGGTTGAGGGAATGGAGTGTTACACCAGTTACATTTGTATCCAGTTTATATTCCCACTGACTGCTGTCCAAGGGTCAACCCAGTTTCATGGCTGGAGAGGTCCATGGCCCCTTGCACACTGCACGTTCTTGTGGCTCCCCTTGCCTTGTGATTTCAACCGCTGTTAGGTCCATTTACTACTGTTTGAGGTTCACATTCCAGGAGATGATTCTGAAAACCTGCATATTTAAATCTTCTTCCATGGCTTTCTCTAACTGCCAAATCTACGTTTTCAGACTCTGCACTATTTTCTCCAAAAACTACTATGTCTGTTTTCATGAGGTCACTTTTAGCACTCTGCAATTTTAAAGTATTTGCTAGAGACCAAGAGTGAACCATTAACAATGTTTAATGACTATAGACCTTATTTGGATTTACATAATTACCTTTTATTTTCAAGGATCCATATATAATGGGTAATCCCTGTTGATTCTTGGGATAAAATCACACCTCAACATGAACCTATGCAATGGATATGGCAGTATCTCAGTTTTACAGATGAGCTGGTTATGTAACTTGCTAAGGGTGACATAGCTCAGAAGTGAAAGAACCAGGATTTGAATCCAACTAGTCTGACTTCAGTGTCTACCTTCTCAACTGTCACATTTTGATGCTGCCTCTTTTTAACTGACAAGTTTCCCTGCAAAAATAAGTTTGCAAACAAATTATTATTCAATGAGCACAATGCTAAGTGAAACAAGTCAGAAAGACAAACACCACATGATTCCACTCATATGCGGAATTTAAGAAAAACATATGAACCTATGGGAAGGCAAAAAAAAGAGAGAGGGAAACAAATCTTAAGAAACTGAACCATAACATATAATGTATTATTTGTTTCAGAGGTACAGGTCTGTGACTCAGTCTTACACAATTCACGGCACTCACCATAGCCATATCCTCCCCAGTGGCTGTCACCCAGCCACCCCATCCCTCCCACCCCCCACCACTCGAGCAATCCTCAGTTTGTTTCCTGTGATTAAGAATTCCTCCTATCAGTGAGGTCATATGATACATGTCTTTCTCTGATTGACTTATTTTGCTCAGCATAATACCCTCCAGTTCCATCCATGTCTTTGCAAATGGCAAGATTTCATTTTTTTTGATGGCTGCATAATATTCCATTGTATATATATACCACATCTTCTTTATC